AAAGCCTCTGAAATATCCCCAAACATGCCCAGGGGGTGGGATGCATATTTATAGTTTCTAGCCACGTGAGGGCCATTGTAGACCCAGGAGAGGCCTGTAATGTAACAGGAAGTGATCCTAAAGTCAATTTTTGCATCACTTGTTTCCTAGGTGTACAACTGCCCATTGGGGAAGGGGGACATACTGAAATTGCCCACATATCCCTGAAGTATACTGAGGAGTATTTGGAAGCAAAATAAAATTCTGGGACCCTTGGTGGATTGCACTTTCTTCACTTGTGTTCTAGTTTGGAGGCTAGATTCTGGCACTGGCAATTCCTGAAACCACCAGGGGGTATATCCCAAGCCTATCACAGGGTTTTCGTGGCAGGTTTCATCTAAGGCTGGGAGAGTGTGACTTGCCCAGTCACCCAGTGTGTTTTCATGGCCAAGCTGGATTAGAACCCTGGTCTCCACAGTGATAATCCAATGATCAAACCACTATGCCCTCAACAGTAGAGTACCTGCTAGTATAGCTATGTAAAAACTGAAAAAATGCATGAGATCTACATGTTCCCAACCCTTACTATAGTACCACACTTTCAATATTGCCTTGACACCAAATGGCCTGTATACACACACATCATATTGCTTGTCCATCTAGCACAGTATTATCTCTCACCCTCCAGATGGTGTTTGACTGCAAGTCCCAATAGCCCTATCCATCACAGACAATGATGAAAAACAATGGACGTTGCAGCTCAGTATCTAAAACCCTAAACATTTCCTATCACTGGTCTATATAGTTTAGGGGTTCAGGAAAATACAGGTCAGCGATACTGCTGAATGCAAGCTTCTGTTGTATTTCAACCCCAAGTACTTCCAATTTTTAAAACTGGATGAAAGAAGCAGAAAATATTAAAGAGCTGTGCCTGAAACCTTGGGACAGTTGGTACAGGTTGGGTCAGAAAGAGAAACCTTCATACAGCAACATGCAAAATGTGTAAAACCAGAGAATTATTCACCCTGACTAACAGCTTCTACTAAGAATGGCACCTATATATTGTGGGTTCAGGGAGGCAAAGGTCTTTCCTAGGCCTCCCACTTGAAAGTGGTAATGAAGGTGATAAAGCCTGGATACAATGCACAAGCAATTGCTGCATAACTTGGGGTAAATAACCTGTCTGAACCACAACTGCCAAAATCATCAGCCACTGGTCATGCTGGGTAGAGATTCTGCAAGCTTGGCCTGGAGAACCCTCCAAAATTGTACATGCACAAACCAGCCTTTATGATGGAAAATAATTTCACTAAGGGGCAAAATATACATGTGGCGAAGGGGAAGGAAAAGTGTGGTCTTCACTATGAGGACAGCTTCAGAGGGCATTTACACTGCAGAAATAACCCAATCTGACATCACAAGTGCTGCAGCTCTGTCCTATGGAATTCTGGCATTTGTAATTTTTACAAGGTCTTTCTGTCAGTGTGTTGGTGCCTGACAAAACTAAAAATCCCAGGATCCTGTAAGCTGGAGCCATGGCAGTTAAATTGCTATCAAACTGCACTATTTCTAGAGTGCAGATGCACCCTCAGCCTCCAAGGATTCTGTAGGATGACACCAAGGCAATTAAAGTGGTATCAAACTGCACTATTTCTACACAATGGATGCAAGCTACAGGAAGTTTCCACCTAAAGTTTCCATTCCTGACAATAAGAGCTGTTCAACAGTGGAATATTCTGTCTCAGAGGGTGGTGGAGTCTCCTTCTTTGGAGGTTTTTAAACAGAGGCTGGATTGCGCGTTCCTGCATGGCAGAATGGGGTTGGACTTCATGGCCCTTGAGGTCTCTTCCAACTCTATGATTCTGTGATTATAGATCCACCCTCAGCCTCTAAGATTCTGCAGAACAGAGGCATGGCAGTTAAAGTGGTATCAAACTGTTATTTCTACAGTGTAGATGCACCCTCAACCCCTAAGATTCTGTAGGACAGAGGCATGGCAGTTAAAGCAGTATCAAATTGTGTTATTTCTACAGTACAGATGCACCCTCAAACTTTAAAATTCTGTAGGATGCCATGACGGTTAAAAGCGGTACTGTGTTAATTGTAGAGTGTAGACCTATGGTCCTCAAACTTTGGTACACTCATCCCTCTGCATTTGCAGCTTTGAGTATATGTGGATATTGTTAATATGTTATCTCTAGGTCCTCAAGAGCAACTCTATGGTTATTCTTAACAGAAAAGTCACACTGAAGGACCTAGAAATTTCTAGAG